ATTGAAGAGTACATGCATTAAAACGTATTTAAGTATTCAAAGATACAAAGTAAATTTTTAATTATCAGTACATTTCTGTCTAATTTTCGGAGTAATTTAAAAGTACCTTGTAACTTTCAGAAACCACCCAATGTATTAATGCATAGAACAGATCTGCTGCGAATTCTGAACCACCAGTGAAGAAGAAAAATGCAATAAAAAAATGCCACAAAAAATAAGGAAAGTTTCTTTGAATATTATTTTTTTATTTAAAAACAAACCAAAAAGAAAACAGGAGTTATCACCAAGTATCTACAACTCTGATCTGAGAAGTCATCGTACTGAACAATTTGACCACATGGCTACAACTAATGCATTAATAACATTATAAACTACTGATAATATCTGCCCTGAGGTTCTCACATTTGTGGAAAGCCATGCTCTCTAAAACAGAGATGTCCAAACTAAGTCCTAAGGGCTGCTATCTTACATGTTGAAATTGCATTTCAATAAAAAAAAACTAAAAAAAAACAGCAGATTATAAAGCTAAGCTGATTAAAAAGTAACAAGTAACTAGCAGCTTACTTAGAAAAATGTAGTGAAGTAGAAAATGCTATATTTGACTTTGAAATGTAGTTGAGTGAAAGTAAGTATTCTCAAAAACTGTATTCAAGTAGAGTAATCAAGTATATGTATTTTGCTACTTTCCACCACTGACAATAAGGATACTATTTTGATACTATTCTTCCTTGATATGTCTTTAATACCAAGACTGAAGGCCTAAAAACAGATAAGGAAATACTCAACTCAACTTCTACATTCACTGCTTTGCTTTTAATGATTGAACAGTTCATGGCGCCATCTTTTGGCAGCCAAGGGATGCTTTGGGTTTGCTCAGCGACTTTGTTTTGTCTTGCAAGTCAGTAAAAGTAGGAGGTCCACCCTTTCAATACAATCTTGAAACTAAGAGGGAAGGAATCAGTCTGAGCTCGGATTCCTACATCGACTATAAAAGTGACACGCAGTTCTAGTGCGCTGGAAGGAGATCAAAAGGAACAAGTGAAATTGCAGATGATTATATGATATAGAATTACAGGTACCAGAGAGGCAGCTGGTAAGACAGTAACCTTTTAAAATAGTACAGACTGTATGTTTACATTGTTGTGTTTAATATTTTCCCTGCTGATGACTGTATAGTCAGACATCTGAGCAGTTGTTGCTCAGTTACATCCATCTCAATCAATTTTGAGGCTTAATTATTACTCTACAAAGCTTGCTCTGGATTATAATTCTGACTAATTGTTACTTTAACCTTCTTTTTTGTTTTTTTTTTCAAGTGTTGGATTCTTATTCATCATATTTATGTTTATAGTAATAATGATTTGTATTTCATTTGGCTCCATAACACATTTTGCATAACTTTAATAATTAAAGTGAGTTCCTGCTAATAGCGTGTACTGAAAATTTATTATTTTTGTGGGTTTTTTTTATGATATCTTTGCAGTATTACTCAATATAAAGTTACAGAGAGTTTTGTGAGGTCATAACGATATATATAATGATATATTTATACCCACAAGACCGGAATAATGGCTCAGATTTGGGCTGGAATCCTGAAAGGAAAAGTCACCAGGAAAGGATCAGGAAAGGCCATTGTTTTATTCCTTCATATCCATGGGTGCCTGAAAAAATAAGAACACCCGACCTACAGGGCAGATAATAATGCAACTGCTTTTGGGGTTTACTTAATCATATTTAGATACTTTAACAAAAATGTTTATGTCATACCCTGCTAACATGAAACAATTGCGTTAAAATAACTTAATATGATTAAGTGAATGCCAAAAACTGTTGCATTATTTTTTAGGTGAAGCTAAATAACTGCTAAAACATCAATCTTTTGTCAGTTCAGTAGCATAACATCAGGGGACACGTCAGAGGAAATAACTTGTTAATTATGACAAGTTCCCACATTGTTCACACAGTGGCTGTTGTGGAAATGTTTATATAAAAGCTTACATTAGAAAAAAGCTGGAGGCAGAGCTTGAACAAAAATAGAATAACTCAACAGCAAGAATCCAGGCTAGCGAACATGTTAAATCTGTGCAAATTTAGACAAAAGAAGAACCCTGATGGATGCTGCAGTAGACTTTAGACAGGGTGTGTCGACCCTTAAGCAAGACGACTCTACACATAGAGCCAGTTTATAATGAAATGTTAAGATCACAGTATATTGATGTTTAGATGATCTAGTCATTCCTTATAAACATACTGGACTTAAATTTATTCATTACAGCGCCTGTAAAAGAATCACTTTTTATTGGTACCAGAGTGCAGAAAGCACACAAAGGTAATCTAATTTGTTGCATTTTATGAAAACCAGATATCCATTTCATTTCTGAATTATTCGCTACTGTTAATGTTTCACACATAAGTTCAATGATTTTTATTTTTTGGTGACAATTAGTCAAGTACAATATATCTCTTTAGAGGAGAGGGGCTTAACATTTTTCTACTTCTGAGTTGCCGAAGCAAAAAGGCAATATGTGCGTGGGAAAACAAGCAACTCTTGGCTGACTGTCTTTGCATTGAGTATTTTCCTGGTCAGGCAGAGGGTCACTTTATTCCTCCAGGTTGCATAAGGTAGCTTTAGACCAGGGGTGTCAAAGTGGTTCCAGAAAGGGCCGTGTGGCTGCAGGTTTTCTTTCCAACCATGCAATAGCACATCATCAAGTTAGTCCAATCTGAACATGATGGCTTGATGAGACGACTGGAGTCTGGTGTGCTATTGCTTGGCTGGAAAG